ACTCTTAAAGGAGATAGTGGGACTTCTCAGAGAGGAAAGGGACAGTGTGTATAACTAGGTTACAATTAGTTCCATTGGGGATCCCAGAGAAATTTCCAGAGAGTGCCCCACTCAGGTCCACCTCTTGACTTTTGACTGACAACAGGATGACATCAGACTTTGAAGTCCCCACTGCCATGACCACTCTAGGTCCCTTTGGCCCATGCTGAACAGTTATAATTGGAACCTGTTCTTACAGATTTTTTAGTTAGGGGGAATTTTCCTTGTCTCCCTGAGTTCTGGAGTCTGGTCTGTGTAAGAATCACAAAAAGTTCCCTCCTTCAAGGTAACTAGTGGTGTTCTTACCAGCATTTTTCAGGCCTTCGTTTCTTCCACAGATAACAAGTAGTTTGATGAGAAATGTTAACATACCATGTGGACTTAAGCCAATCAGGACTGGAGGTAAATTGCTTTTTTAAAGTGAACACTTGTGGGGGTAAGCACAGGGGCCTAGTTTATAGAATTATTCCCTTAATCTGTCCCCTGTCAGCACCCACAACAGTGAAAACACAGGGCCAAAGCACATAGCTTACCTTGAGCAAGCCAAGCAAGCAAAGAGGGGAAGGCAGAACTGGGAGGTTGAGATGAGAAACGTTGGGGGTTAGAGAAGGAGCCAAAGCTAAAGTCACACTTTGTGGATAGCACTGACAGGGAAGAGACCAGTAGGATTACGTGCCTTCCTTTTTTTCTTTTATGGTTCCTGTTTATGACTCCTCCCTTGGCACAGCTCTTTAGGGCTCCTTTTTAGGAAGCCCTGCTTCCTCAATTCCATACAAGGCTCACTGGCTGTGAGGGTGGAAGAGAGTGTGTGAGAAAAGCTGGGAGAGGACTCTGCTATGACATTTGGGGTCAGAAATAAATTTGGGAAATATATTTATTGTTTTTGAAAGCATAAGGGAAGTTTCTATGGAACCTGCCCACAATTCTCAAATTGTGACTGGTTGGTGTCTAACAATTAGACACTTACTTGTGCAGGAAGCTTATTGACAGAGTTTCACTTCCACTTAACTTTTCTTAAAGAAAGCCTTCCATTATGGTCATGTTTTTATTAAGAAGTAAGTTGGCTTAGTTCTACTTCAGATTTTTCTTTTGGAATCATAATTAGGATCTTTCTGAGCTTGACCAAGTATCAGCCCATCACCCAGCCCCTCTGGGCTAACATACATGATTATTATGGAGCTGGGGCCTTCCCAAGACACCTCTTCAAACCTCGATTCTTGAGACCAAGTCATGTAGATTTCAGACATGTCGCTCAGAGTAACAACCATGAGTTTATTGACAGGCTAGGGAAAAAGAAAAGGGGACACTCTCAAGGGAGAGAGTGTGTCCTCTCAGAGAAGAGAGAAGGAGTCTTCCTCTCCTGCACTCCAATTTTATTAGGGATCCCAGAGAAATTTCCAGAGAGTCCCTCTCAGGTCCACCTCTTGACTTTTGACTGACAGCAAGGTGCCATCACACTTTCAAGTCCCCACTGTCATGGCAACTCTAGGTTACCTTGGCCCATGCTGACTGGTTCTAATAGGATTCTTAACCACACATTCTTATAGATTTTTATGGGTAGGAGGAACTATCCTTAGCTCTCAGAGTTTCAGGATCTGACCACAAAAATCTTTTGGGTTCCTCTCATCAACATTATCTTGGGCCTGTATTTCTCTTGCAGGAAACAGGTAGTTTGCTGAGGAATGTGCTGAGGCCAGGAAGGGCTAAGGTAAATTTCTTTTTGGAAAAGAAAGCATGTGGAGGTCAGCACAGTGGGCCCACTTTACAGAATTATTCTCTTAACCTCATGTTTCCACCATTCACATCTGTCTGTCCCCTAACATGATGATCTAGTGTCAAGATTTTATTTGTAGTGCTTATTTGATTGACAATCTTTGTAAAAAAATGTTGATTTAATTTTAAATGTTGTCAACAGATGACTCTATATAAATATTAAATTGACACTTTCTAGTCTCCTGACCACTAAAACTCTCTATGCCAAAAACTAAATTTACATTTCCTCCCAGGCTTATTCCCAGTTTGCTTCCTCTATCAGTAAATGATACAGCATCCATCTCCTGAGTCTCAACCTAGAACCTGAGAGTCAGTCAGCCTCCTCCTACTACTTTGATGACTGGCCTGAATATAACCACAACAGATGTACAACTGGTTTCACAGAGGGGGAAAAAAAAAAAAAACGCACTATATACTGTTTCCTTTCTCCATTTTTTTTTTTTTTTTTGGTTCCTCCCTCTTGTTTCTTTTCTAAGTCTTCTTTCTTTTCACAATTATTTATTGAGTACCTGTTACGTGCCAGGTTCTTTTCCAAGTACAGAGAAAACAGTCTCTGGCCTTGAGGCATTCAGTATGGGAGCAGGGACAGACATGTAAGTTCAGTTCAGTGGGACAAAGCCTAAAGATGTACAGACAAGGCACTTTGAGCTTGTAGAGTAAGTCAGCCTCTACAAAGGGGGCGCTGCTTCCTGAGTTCTAAATAGCAATTTTAAGATTGCTATAAGAAAAAAACATCTCAGGCAGACCAAATAGCATATACAAATCAGAAGCATTGACCCAGCTCATGGTCTGTTGCAGAGCTATGTATAATAGTTTCTGCATCACAAAGTGCACAGAGGGGTGATGACAAAGCTGGTAAGGCCAATGGAAGTCATGTTATGAAGACCAAGAGAGTAAGGTGAAGGATTGCTATTTTGATAAGACATAGAAGCCATGAAAAATTTTAGTAGGCAAGGTGACAAAATTAGTTTGAATTTCTTTTGTGGTGATGGTGGTGGTGGTGTTTTATTTATTTATCTATCTATCTATTTATTTATTTGGGTACTGAGTATTGAACCCAGGGGCACTTAGCCACTGAACCACATTCACAACCCTCCCCTGGCCTTGCTTTTGTATTTTATTTTGAGACAGGGTCTCACTGAGTTGCTTAGGGCCTTACTAAGTTGCTGAGGTTGGCTTTCTCACAATCCTCCTGCCTCAGTCTCCCAAGTTGCCAGGATTACAGGCATGCACCACTGCACCTGGCCTAGTTTGCATTTTAGAAAAATTACCCTGGCAGAGAATGAAAAATGGGCTAAAGATCTTCTATAGGAAAGGCCAGTTGTAATATACCTAAACTATCATAGAAATATAGAAAAAAAGGAAGAGACTGATAAGAGAGATAATTCAGGAAGTTTTGATTGAACATGACTCATGAAGATGGGGAGGCAGGATGGATTTTTTTTCAGATTGAGAGATGACAGATAAAAAGCAGGAAGGGGGTAGGAGGGATTATGAATTTTATTTTAATATTTTAAAATATTTTTTAGTTGTAGTTGGACATAATACCTTTGTTTTATTTATTTATTTTTATGTGGTGCTGAGGATCAAACCCAGTGCCTTGCACATACTAGGCAAGTGCTCTACCACTGAGTCACAACCCTAGCCCCAACTTTCATTTTAAATATTTTGAATTTCTAGTGCTCATAGAATCTTCCAGATTATCTTTTCAAGTGTACTATGGAATATACAACAGAAAAGGGAACCCACAGGGAGAATGAAGAAAAGGGCAGGGAAAGGAGAATGGGATTCAAGAGAGAGGAGCATCCCAGATACCATGGGAGGAGAGAACTTTAAAAATACAGTTAATTCTTTGGGTCCATGTGCTCTACATCAAAGAATTCTACCAACCGCAGATTGAAAATATTTAAAATAAATAATTGTGTATGTACTAAATATATACGGACATTTTTCTTGTCATTATTCCCTAAACAATACAGTATAACAACTATTCACATAGCATTTATATTGTTTTTGGCACTGAAAGTAACCTAGAGATGATTAAAAGCACACAGGAGAATGTGTGTAGGTTAGATGCTAATGCTATACCATTTTATATAAGGAACTTGAGCATCTGTATATTCTGGAATCTGCCGGGGGTCCTGGAAGCAATCCTCTGAGATACTAAGCAACAACTGTAAGGAGTCACCAAGGTCAAGTGCTTTTGCAAGTTCATAGGACACCAGGATTTCATTAGTGAGCCAAGCAGGAGCAGTGCTGGTGGCATGGTGGGGATGGACAGGGGGGGCAGCAGGTGGGAGGGAATGAGGAAGTGAAGTGTGGGAGTGCATTCCTTCCAGAAGGTAGGCCTGGAACTGTGCCAGTCATGATGGCCGTTCTAGCACCAAGCACAGTCCCCAGTTCAGCGGGGATGCATACAATTCATGATGATTTCATGAAGGGAGTGAGAGATCCCAACAATAGCTAAATCTGTTCACAAGATGCAGAGAAGGCTTTTGTATTTGGTTTCTTTTTATCTGTGAGATAATGGAGCATCTGCATTGTGCTAAGGGAGAAGGAGAGGGTGCTTTAGGATACAGCCATGGTACAAAGTTCCTGAAGTAGGCAAGGGGGGTGCATCCAGATTAGGGTAGGACTGGGGTGAACAAGAAGGGAGAGGTGGCATGAGTGCAGGGTTTGTGAGGATGGATTCACAGAACTACCAACACCCTGAGGAACCACGGGTGATAGCTTAGAGTTTTTCTGCAAAATAAGGATGTCACACAGGAAGAATTGAGCAGGGAATGTAGGATAAGGAAACTAAGAATGCCTTTGGTCCAACTGCAGAGAGAAATGGAAAAGCTGGTGAGTAGGGCCAAGAAACTTTTCATTAGCTGAATTAAGAAGTGAGGGAGAGAAAAAAAAAAAAAAGAAGCGAGAGAGCTCCAGCTCCAGCTCTACCCAGAACCTCATTCCTAGGATGAAATTCTTAAGCCCACTTCTGTGATGCTGTAACTACACCCCTACGTTTGACCTGCCTCTTTGTGGTCTGGGCACATCCCTGTTGATTAAGGCTTTGGTTTTCCCCACTGGTAGCAAGGCAACTATATTCTAATAGAAACAAATGTGTTGAAATTGTTGGTTACATAGATATAATATACCCAGGTTTCTATGGAGTACCGTTTTAGCAGTTTTTCCTTTTCTTCCAGAAGTCTACTATGCAACTGCATACTGGATACCTTCTGAAAAGTCGATAAAAGTCAAACACGTAATGGACAAGAGTGGGGATGCCTATGGCTATTACAATGACTCCATGGAAACCACAGGTTGGAGCATCCTGGAGATCAGAGCTGGGTATGGCGCTCAAGCTCTGAGCAATGAGATCATCATGTTTGTGGCTGGCTTTTTGGAGGGCTACCTCACTGCCCCGTAAGTACCCGAGTTCATGGAGCAATGGCCTGGCCACTTCTGTTCTTTTCCTTGTCTGGCAATGAATCTTGTTTTCCTAGCATTGTGCATTAGGTCCTTTGCATGTGATTGAAAAAAAAAAAAAAGTCATCAGAATTACAATTGTGCCTGGGTGTGGTGGTGCACACCTGCAATCCCAGCAGCTTGGGAGGCTGAGGCAGGAGAATTGCGAGTTTGAAGCCAGCCTCAGCAAAAGCAAGGTGCTAAGCAACTCAGTGAGACCCTATCTCTAAATAAAATACAAAATAGGGCTGAGGATATGGCTCAGATGTTAAGTGACTGAGTTCCATCCCCAGTATCCAAAAAAAAAAAAGAATTACACTTGTGTCCATAATCACACCTACCTAAAAGGTGCACTGGATCTCTTCTATTCTTATGGCACTTCCTTCTTAATCTTCCTTTTTAATGCAGTGGTTTTAAATGAAAGGGAGTCATTCCATTCTATTTGTCATTTGTTGTCTGGAAGAAAATAGATAAGAGGCGGAATGACTCCTTGAGAATCATAAAGCAGGGAAAAGATTAATTAAAAATAAAATGTAAGAGCATTTATTTTCAACCATCTTGAAACATCTTTAGGCAAAGAGATTTTTAAATTTAAATTAAAATCTTAATGAGTCTACTATGAATGTTCCTTCGTTCTATTGTTATGTGATTCTGGTGTCATTACTTTGTCTTATAAAAATAACAGGGATGTAGTTACTAATAATGCAATCAGGATATATGCTTTTTAAGAAAATAGCTCTTTAAGGAAAATAAAGCTGCAACTCATTTAATCCATCCTCAACCCTTCTTGGATATAAAGTGTTTTTATGGCTTGACTTGGTTTCTTTTATTTTATGTGACCTAGTTATTAAGCGCACTTTCCAAAACTTATTTGGGGCTACTTCAGTCATAGTAATCGAGGTGCAGATCTTAATCTGCCTTGGAATATTACATCAGAGGTTAAGTGACTAGTTAATGGGCTCTGGCTACACTTTTTTTAAATTTAGGCTACAAAGTTCTTTTTTTTATTTTTATACCTAATTTTTGTTCTTCTACTATGCCAGTCCTCTTAACAGCACACAACTCAAAGAGGTATAAAACTTTACAAACTGAATAAGATTCTAAAACATGTTTAAAACCACATTATACCTATATAAAATCTGAACTTTTCCACTTCAGTATCCATGCTAAGTTCTGATTGTGCTATTTAACTTGAGTTGTGAGTTTGAAGAAATAATGCAGACCAAAGTCGTGAAGATATAAATGGATTAGATTAACTCGTAATGACGTGTACACTGGGTCATTAAGGGTCACACTGAGTTTGGAGCAGCTCTATCCTATGAAATGCTCTAAGGATGCACTTCTTCCTTGGACGTTTCTTTTATTGTTTCTGCTAGAAAGAGTTCACCGGGTTTGAGACATCTTCTAATAAAGGTGGCAGTTCTGATATTCTTATGTTGTAGGAAAAAAATAAGTTTTAATGTCTCAGAGCCAATGCTTTTGGGGGTGGCTTTATCATTTCACCTCCATTATTTATATAAAGCATTATCTTTGAGTAACTCTATTTGCCAAACAAACAAAGCCCATAGAAAAAGGAGCCATGTTAAGCTGGGTATGGTGGCACATGTCTGTAATCTCAGTATCTCCCTAGGTTGAGACAGGAGGATCGCAAGTTCAAAGCCAGCCTCAGCAAAAGCAAGGTGCTAAGCAACTCAATGAGACCCTGTCTCTAAATAAAATACAAAACAGGGCTGATGATGTGGCTTAGCGGTCAAGTGGTCAAGTGTTGCTGAGTTCAATCTCCAATAACTCCCCTCAAAAAAAAAAAAGCAAGAAAAAGAAGCCATATTATTAATAAGTTTTAAAAATACTTCATATTAACATAAAAATTACTTTTTATTTATTTAAAGAAAAAAGACAGCTACTATTCCAAAACTATTCAGAGACCATTTTCTTGTTTAATTTGCCTTTTATATATTAACCGACTTTTGAAGGTTAAAACAAAAAATGAAAAGCCCAAACACTTCCTGTCAATTATGGCTCAGGCTTCGACTCTGAGCCTGCCTTCCCTTCAGACAAGTGACAACAGCTGACGAAGGATCAGGAGTGAGGGAGAGACAGGTTTGTTGGTCTGTCTAATACTGGAGCCTCAAGGGAAAACTCATCCACTATTGGCAACATCGCTACGGCAGACATAAATGCAAGAGAATTCTTTCACTGCAGTACTGCAGAGTTGAAGAGAAGGAAGCACCTAGAGGCCAGAATAGAAGGCTTCGTGAAAGATGTGAGGCCTGGGTCTGGTGCTTGATAGGTGAGAACCATGTGGCCAGGCTGGGAGGAGGGTGACAGAATAGAGCGCTGAAAGCAGGCCCTGAGTCTGCAATGAGTCAGTCACATTGACAATGAGCAAGGAGTGGAGGCTCCAAATGAGCAACCCGAGGACAAGAGGTTTAAAATACAAATGGCGGCAGCCTTGTGGAAGGGTTTGAATGGAGTCCTTTTTAGCAGTTACCATTCTCTGCTTCAAACACAGAGTGTGCAGAGGTTTCTTGAACTTGAAAGATGACTTCTGTGTTCGCCTCTGTCTGATGTTTGTGATTGTGGTAGCTATTGGATGTGGAAAGTGAAAAACCCCAAGATAGTGTGGCCTGGGAAAAGGGAATGAGAAAGGAAGCCATACATTGATAAGCTTTCATCTCTCCCAAGATAAATCCTTCCCAGATGCTGGCTGCAGGTGGGGAGAAAGTGTTTCATCAAACCTAGAATGATAGTCTCTAGGAAACACTACTCTCTTCCAAGATAACTCCTCTCCAGGTGCTGGACACGGACCACAAATCCAAAGACCCAAATTCCCCAGTTCCCAAAATGAGATGCTCACTAAATTACTTACCTATGTAAGCTCAGTCCCCTCCTTTGTTCAGTGGCTCATTTTCTACCAGGAAAGTGGGTCCATACCCATAGATTTAGTACAGTTCCTGAATAAAAGGCTGAAAAGATCCATGAAGTTTGCGTCCAGCCCCATCCTCTTGGTGCCAACAGTAGCACTCCCTGCTTTCTCAAGAATGGACTTCCCGTGCACAGGGCACCAAGAGCTGGAGAGGACCTCCATTCTGAAGAAGCTTTGATATAGCTCACTGGACAGGAGATGTTGGTAAACAGCAGCATGATAAGAAGTGAATGGGGTGGATGGAATAGAGAAGTCGATATGTAAATTAGAAGAAGGAGGAAGAGGAGGAGAAAGCCAAGGAGAGGATAAGAGAAGGCAGGAAGGAGGGAAGGAAGGAAGGAAGGAAGGAAGGAAGGAAGGAAGGAAGGAAGGAAGGAAGGAAGGAAGGAAGGAAAGTAGGTCATGGAGAAAGAAGAACCATAGTCAAAAACCATCTTTAGAAAAGTCCCATGAGATGCTATTCAAAGGTTGTCGTTCTAGTCTGAAAGGCAGATATGGAGGGGAATTTCTGAAACAGCTTACACTTAAAGGCCCTGCTTTGTGCTTAGTTCAGAGTTAGGAACGCTGAAATGACCACTAATGACCAAGCATGCTTCAAACAGATCTCTGGCAATGGATCAGGGAAGGAGGCTATTCATTCCTTCTTCCTCTCCTAGTGTGTTCCAAGACACGAAGGCTCGTTTCACATTCTGATATCCAAGTTTATTTCAAAGAAAGGGATATTCCCAGTGGAGTAGACACACAGGGCTCACAGGGCCAATAGTTCCAGCAGAGACACAACAGAGGAGATGCTACGATTCACAGGATTGCAACAACCAGACCCAAGGCATCACCAAACACTGTGACGGTCAACACCAGAGCCCACTATATGCGTCCCAACTGAGCAGCTGGAAGCAGTGTGGCTCCCTCTGAGCAAAGGTATCCAGCACTCTGAGGAGCTTAAAATGCCAACCACAAGAAAGCAAAAGCTATCACCACAAACCAGTAGTAAAGAAGGAATCCTGGTCACGGGCTAGGTGTTGTCATTGTTTGTCCTGCTACACACAGGCAGTTGTGTATGAAAAGCAGTAGCATCTTCATATACAAACATCGTTTATCAACTTCAAACATATACCGCAGGGGGCTGCTTTTCAAGGAATAATCTCACACGCTAAAACACAGCCTTAGAGCAAGGGTTTTAGCTCTGAGCCTGGGCTGGGAAGGTGAGTTTGCACGAGGGGACCAAAACTAAGAGCCTTCTCTTCTCAATTTTCCCTCGGCTTTCACAATAGTATATGCAGCCACCAAGAGCAGAGGGCAGTTTAGAACTTGCACATTTGTTCATTTTTTATTTTTGAGAAAAAGGAAAAAGGAGGTTTATTGCTTTGCTAGCAAAAAAGAAACACAGAAGACTTCTGTCCCAGAGGCTGTGATTCTGCCCATCAGCAGGAACAGCAATTCATTGAGGGTTTCCTTCCGTTTCCATGCAATTTCCCTTCTCTCTCCCTTTCCCTCCCACCACTGGTCTCTGTTTAATGTTAATCTTTTCCTCATGCTCAATGTGTGTTATATGAAATCACATATAAGAGGTTGTGAGGGGAAATGGGGGGAAACAAGGGAGAGAACTGAACAACAACAGATGAGGTAGAGAGGGAAGATGGGAGGGGAGGGGAGGGGGATAGTAGGGGATAGGAAAGGCAGCAGAATACAGCAGTCACTAATATGGCATTATGTAAAAATGTGAATGTGTAACTGATGTGATTCTACAATTTGTATTTGGGGTAAAAATGGGAGTTCATAACTCACTTGAATCAAATGTATGAAAGATGATATGTCATGAACTTTGTAATGTTTTGAACAACCAATTTAAAAAAAAAGAGGCAATTCAAAGGCTACGTTCCACATGTTCTCTGTTGGAGTTGTAATTCACTTGTTAATTTTGGAGACAGTCATTTCTGAGATCTTCTGGTGTCATCCCCAAAGTCTAGATTATTTCCTTTCTATAGTGGGTGTATGCTCAAGGACAGATAAAGCTGCCTAAAATGGAAGAAAG